AATATTTCTAAGTGGCCGCTTTTATTTCTTGGATTGTGCTTAAAATATGTCATAACCACATTTACTAAGGGTACTGTTGTGAAAAATCAACGATAATATTCCTAATCATAGTCCTGAGGGATGGTAAATATGTTCTTATAAATCCAGGATTATTGTTTACTTTAATATCTTCTTAAAATCAATGATAATAAAAAAATTCTTTAAATGTATTCCTAGCAACCCTAGATTACGGCTATGACGAATCCTAATAATGTGTTCCTAGTAATAAAATATTTTAGCTCTGAGGGTCCTTTATTCCCAAAAATCTAGAAAAATAGTTCTGAGGGTCCTAAAGAGTTATTCCTGAATATCCAGGGTTACAGCTCCAATGGTCTCCAAACTATGTTCCTAATAGTGCACTACAAATATACTCCTTATCTGTGATTAAAGTATTGAGGAGCTGTAAAATATATTTTTAAAAATGAAGGATTATAGCTCTAAGGATCCTAAAATATTTTCCTAGTACTCCAGGATTATAGTTCTGAGGATCCTTAATATGTATTCTTAAAAATTCAGAATTATAGCTTTGAGGATACTTAATATATGCTCCAAATCATACAGTATAATGTATAAAATAGTCCCTAAAAACATACTTAATAATCCACGTTAATAGCTCTGATCATATTTTATTCCGGCTATATTTGTATGTAATATAACACATCGAACTGCAGCTCTGTCATGGAAAATATTCTTGAAAAAGGAAGCTTAATATTTTTTTAGGATCCAATATCTGATTGTTTTTAAAGAAATGTTCATTGAATTACATTATTATGCAATTAAATTATCAAACACATTCTAAAACAATATCCTTCAAAAGTTATGAAAATAGCTTCGATCGTCCTTCAAAGAATTTTTTATGAGTTTTGATGATCCCTAGAAACCATTCATAAAATTTGCAATTTTATGCTTCGAAAATGCTTTTTAAAATCATCACCAAATTTTTTTATAAAAGTCCAATGGTCTCTAAGGAGTCTTTGGATATAATTTTGCGAGAACCTCTAAAAGCGGTCTAAAAATGGGCCGAAGTTTGAATACACTCTACCATTTGGAAAGAACTTGAACAATTTAAAAAAATATGAAGAGAAAAACGAAGGCGTGGTCCTGCATAAGTAATTTTTTTCACAGGCATTATTTCTAATTCCTGGCTTCAAATATGAAACTTGAAAAAATTCCGTTGGATAATGTCGCTAATATCATAAAAATACTGAATATCGGGAGTTATATTTACATGGGAACTATACGAAAATGGTCCATTTACTGGAAAAATACACATGTGTGCAAAACGGGATTACAACAGACAGAGGGACCGACAGTGTATTTTTAAGATCTACAAATGGAATAACAAAGTTAATATACCCTCCATAAAATGGTAGAGGGTATGCATGTTAAATTCACTACTAATGTCCTGAAAATACTAAAAAAACGCAAGTGATAAAAATTTCCTTATTCTATATACCATATTAAAGATAACAACATTAATGGAAGGATCATGTGTCTATAAACCGCCGTGGGGCACGGCTGAACTCTACGGACACTCAATTTCTATATTTCTTAAAAAGAGTAAAAACTTATAGTTCCACAAAATGTATTGACCTCCTTTCTTGCAGAAAAATGCAGCAATATTTTTCAAGATCAAAAATTCATTTCGATACACCTGGCGACAATCTTGCGATGATTGACTTAAATTTTTGTTAATTGATGTGGTCAGATAGATTATCAATGAATAACACACATAATATTGTTACTTTGTTATAAATCATCGACTAATATATTTTCAAAAAATTGGAAATTTGTTCAATTTTAATTATCTTCATTCTTCGAAAGAGATACGACAAACATCTATCACCAAAAAAATGATGAAATAAGAGCTGATGAATCTTTTCGTATGCTTGTGTGTCACAACAGGTCTCGAAGGCATAGCCCATTATCGACAAATGCATTCATTCATGCTGAACAACATCAGCAACAACAACCACGAAGCGTTTCATTATCATAGCAGTAAAACAAATTTTGCAAATTAAATAAGAGAATCAATAAAACAAAAAAAAAACAAACGGATGAACAAAACAAATAATTTGTTAGTATTTCTATGAGAAAACGATTCACTTGTAGCTGCGGATTTGTTAGGTATGATTTTTTTTACAACTGCATAGTTTTAAAGCTTAGAATATAAATAGCAAGCGAGAGTAATTTTTATTGGAATTTATATAAAAGCGAACAAGTCAAAAGTCAAGCCGTTTGATGATTGATGTTGCTGTTGTATTAGCTTTCGTTCCCTACACCACCTAGTGGTAAGGGTATTATGTCTTTGTGCACTGATTTGTAACATGGGGAAGGAAGCGAGATAGACCCATAGTTACTATTGAGGAGCTTCATAGAATCAAATTCTGGGTCAATTTATGGATGTGAGTCCGTTCGTCCGCAAGCTCGTCTCTCCATGTATTTTTGTGAAAAAAATGCC